TTAGAGACTCAGCTGTCAATATTCAGTGTTAGGTGCCTTATTAAGACTGACAGTTGAGAAATACAGAATGCTTACAGCGTTAAAGGAAATCAGACTGAGCACATCTGAAAAGCGGTGATGCTGGCTCTGCCTGTGCAGAGTGGCTCTGCTTGTTCTTCACATACACAGGTGTAAAACAAAACTGATTCTATGGAGCACAGTGGGATTTGTCATGATTCATCATCATCATACAGCTCTCTGATGTGAATTTAAAATTTTACTTAAGTTTTCACACATGCTTCACACAAGTGTACCTACCAGATGTGGTGGAGGCAGTGGAGAGTGAGGCCCAGCTGGATGTGATGTATGTAGTATATCCTGCCACCAGAAATTATCTCAGGTACTGCCTCTGGGAAAAGAGCAGTTTGTTTAAAATTGTAGCATGAAAGGATGCCTCTTATAGCTTGCCAGTGGTGCTATGGACTCCGTAGCTTTCCTGCTTTCACTATGGTTATATATACAGTAAGCTGAATGTTGTTTTATCTTGCTTTCTCTGGAGGTGATGCTACACTAGTGAGTTGTAAATGAATCTTTACAGATTGTTGTCTGCAGGAGCGTACCTTGTAAGGAAAGACTTGTGAAACTAAGCAGTAGAAAAGATATTAATAATAGTTGAAGAATAAACTGGATTAAAAGAGATTTAATATTTGTTTATGATTCCGTCTTACTCTGCTCATGAGCATGTCTCATGAGCAAGAAAGAGAAGCTGCCGTGTTGTGGTGGTGAGCAAGAAAGCAGATCAGGTGTCCAGAAACAGGCAGGTGGATGTTTGAACTTGTCCTGGATCACTGCTCGATTCCAGCCGAGTACTCCTAACAGGTGGCTTGCCGAGTGGTGTGCCAAGGTGACATTTGTCCAGGGAACTACCTGGATGACAAGCTGCTTCAAACTGAGGAAGAGTGTCTTTGCTTTGATGAGGAAATTGCCAAAACTCATGTCTCATTAGTGTTTCCTAAGGTTCTTTGGAAGTGAACAACAGTTTAATTAAAGGCTGACGTAAACACGTTTCTACACACTTTCCCTGCAGCATTTTATCACATTAGAATTGATCAAAATTGTTGCCTTTGGCTGTCTTGAACAGCTATACATCTGGAGCACCATTTGTGCAAGCTGCTGATGAACAGGCTACATACGCTATGCTTCACAGCAGCTCTTCTGCCTTCCTATGTAGACAGATTTACCTTGTTGGGAGATGAAATTATCTAACTCTTTTTATTTGCATAAGCCCTTTTTTTCTTTGATGTGATGCTTTAAAATGTATAACATGCCACCCATTTGGGTGCATACATACTGTATCTCCACAGTAATATGAAAATACAGGCAAAAGTGATTTGGAACAGCGCTGAGAATTAAAAAAAACCCAACAAACCAACCCGTTTTTCACATTTGAAGAAAATTCTCGGCAGGACAGGACACAGTGTCTGCTTAATGTTGACCTTTTGATAACTTTGTCCAAGTGCTTTTGGCATCTTTCTGCTTTTCATCTGTACTTAGCATTTTTTCCAAAGGTCTAAAAATAAATCACACTTGAAACTGTTTTATTTTCATTCTCAAAGTAATAAGGATTGGAATCTCATTCCTGAAACTTTGACACAGACATAAGAACAAGTAGCCTATTTTTGTGACCTCTGTTTGTCATTCATTATGTAATTATCAATATATAACTAAGGTTTATGTAGCTACTGGACTATACCTCATGATGTGGAAAAATAAGACATTTTAAAATGAGAAAAATGTGTGTTTTCTATTATGTAGAAGCTACTAGTAAAATCATATGAAGTCTCACTGTCACTTTAACTCATACTGCTTTATTTAAAGGCACTGTTTCTTATGAGCAAAATTAAAGACAGTGAAAAACTGCTTTGCATTTTTATTTTTTTCCCAGGTTTTTTTGTAACTGGTAACTCTCCAAAGAAATGTAACTTGTGTGTTTTCCTATTAAAGCTCTAAGCCTCCTCTCTTGGTCAAGGAGAAGATGGCTGCAGCCTTTCTTCCTAACCTATACAAACTGTTATTGTTCTGTCTCCCCTGTTGGCTGCATCTGTTATTCGGCAGTGGCAGGAGAATGAATGCTCCGTTATGATGGCCAGGCACACACGGGGAGAGCTGTGGGGGCTGCAGGGGGGAAGGGTCTGTCTGAATTACTTCTCAATGCGAGGTCCATGGTTTTAACAAAGAAGCTGCTGCCTGCACTTCAGCCGTTATTCTTTGCAGTTGCCTATGCTATATACGAGACTTCTTCTCAAAGTACTTCATGGTGGTGTGCTGTGCAGTGTACGTTAAAGTCGCTGTTTTGGTGGGTAACAAGTATTTTTATGGCAGTGCTGAGTTTTCTATTCCTGACTACCAGTCACGTTCACCTTGATGAAGAAACAGTCTTCTGTATATGTTCATTGTGTTTACTTTGTAATTTATGCTGTCTGTTTTCTATGTGCTAACTAGAATTCTTACCTCCATAAAGTAGGAGCAGGAATAAATTACACATTTTTGAAGCAAGATCTAGGGTTATCATAGTCATCAATCTCCTTTTCAGTAGATTCTTTTCAAATTAGTGGTGCCACTGGGGGGTTAATGGGTAGTCTTTTTACATTGCACTTCATATAGCATACTTCTTTCGAGCAACTAAAATATTTTGGTTTTGAAAAACACAACAACTTTTGCTTGTTTAATGAAGTAACAGTCACCAACCAAATTAAATCTCTGTTGCATTCCAGAAATCAGAGCTGCTGACACATGCAGACCTTCAGGAGCTAGGCAGCTCTTTCTTTTGTTGAATATGAGCTTTACATAAGGAAATGATTTTCCACTTCCAGCCCATGGTTTGTTTTTTCCTTAGGAAGACTTAAGTGCAGTACTTTTAATTTGAAATAAAATTAAACTGTGTGTACATTCTCTCTTTTATGATAGCCTATATGGTCACTGATAAGTTTTGTGACAACTAGTGATGACCACAGCATTGTAGTGGGAGGCTGTGTCTACAAGCTATTAGGCACACTTGTCTTTTTTCTCAGACTGTAACATTGCAGCATTTCTGCAGAGACAGTGATTGTGCATGCATGGAACCACAGTACAAAGACAATAGCTGGTTAATTTTGTCCTGGGCTTTTATAAAACCCTACATCTGTTGTGGAGGTGTGAGAATTTTCCTGCTCTGATGGAACTAGGGCCTTATATGAAGAAGCTAGGTCTCTCATTTGAGCAGAAAATAAAACATAATGAAATATTTGAAAATCATTCCAGAATTAATGTGCCATCTTATCATTGTTTGCCTATGCAAAACTCAATTTAAAGAAATTCAGTCTTGCAATCATAAAAATTATTTCTTAGCTTAGCAGAATGTATTCAACAAAAGTGTAACCATTTGGCAGCTTTGTCTTTGTTACCTGCTGATAGATTCAAAGAAATAAAATATTCCTCCGTTTTCTTCCTCAACAACAATTTATTTACCAAATTTTTATAAGACAGCTAGAGGTCCCTCTGTCAGCACTCAGTGTTTTTGATAACAACATAAAATTGCAACAGGTCAGTATAATAAAAAGCATACAGTAACCTTTGTCATATCTGTTAAAACTGAATGAGTTCTACATTGCTCTGTTGTAAAGCAATTCCTCGCTCTTGCTGAATGTTTCACTGAATAAAATCCTTTCTCGGCAGCCTTCTTGAAGAGGTGAACCTTGCAGGGTATCTGGGAAATTAGCAGACTTAGTAGTCGGGACCAAAGGGGAGCAGGGGAGTTGCAGGGGGATGGTGGAGGGGCACTGGCAGAGTCTGCTCTGGGTCTGGTGCCAGTGCCTGTGCAGGGCTTGACAGCGGGATGGGGCAGAGCAGACAAGCGGTCTCTCAGTTTGATGGGTCCTGCTCTAAGTACGGCTTTCAGGGTGCAAACCCACTCTTAAACTCCAGCCAGTTCAGAAAGCATTGGTCCAATTTGGTGTCAGTAAGGCGCTCACATTTTGCAGGCCTGTCATTGACTTCCAAGATGATTGTATTCCCCCAGAATAGCACAATACAGTGTGCCAATACTAAAAGTGCCAAAATCACTTTAAGGGCTAACATCGTCCATGTAGGAAAGTCAGCTGCAGCGTGGCCCCGCTCCAGTAAAGTACTTAAGAAATGACCTTTGCTTTAAACTTGAGTTAGTCCCATTGATTTGAAATGGAACCCACTTACAATATTGATGTGTGTCCCATAAAAATATTATAAAAACTTTGAAATAATTGGGTGCAAAGCCCAACGAATGTTGTTTAATTAATTTAAACTTTCAGAAATAATCCAGTATTTTTGCTTTATGCAATATCAGTAACCCTGCATGGTAGAAATCACACATTTGTCCCTACCAGTGTGCTATCTTCACGCAGTGAGCTCTAAAGAAATGTTTTTGTTGATAGGGAAACTGGAAGGAAGAGGTGGGAAGGCCCTACTTGAGACATGGAAAATATGAGAGAGAGAAGTCAAAGTATCCTTTATTCTTAGGGAGGTTACATTGTTTCACTATGGTTTTGGGAAGTGTAAGGGATGGGGTTTGAAATAACAAAATAATAAATGCCATAAACCGGCATGTGTATGGCAGTTACACTACACACCTGAGTGTAGGCGTTCCATTAAAAAATGCAATAAAGATTATGTGGCTGTTGAAGGAGCAGATGATTTGGTGATGTTCTGGGGAGCTGAGAAGTGTCTAGGGAGGTTTTGAAGACATGCATTTCTTCACTGTTTGGCTTGTCTGGTATGAAAGGAGTGTGGTTTCTGTTTTGCAGGACAAAGAACACTTAGGGGATTATTATTCATTCTCAAGTTTGAAAGCTATAGTTTAAAATCAGTTTATTGGTCATAGGGGAGCTGGGTGACCAAACAATATTTATGCAAGAACAGTAAAAATAAATATCTTCAGTCTACAAAATGATGTGTCCGGAGACGGGCTTCTAAGCTAATGTCACTGTTCCATTGTTTTTCTGTTGCAGATATGTCTTCTCCTACAATGAAGAAGCCTGAAAAGCCTTTGTTTAGTCCTACTTCTCCCCAGGATTCTTCACCAAGACTGAGCACTTTTCCCCAGCATCACCACCCAGGAATCCCAGGAGTTGCACACAGTGGTGAGGTTTATAGAGGAGGAAGAAATACCTCCATATTCATTTGGTCTGTTCCTTCCTACAATCAGATTGTGATGCATTTTTGCAGACTTTCTTAGAGACCTAATCCCATTCATAATACTGATGAGAGTAGAAATGGAAGAAGTTGGAGTAACCTTGCAGGAATGCTCATTAAACTCAGTTCAGGTAGTCTGACTGCTGCAAGCCACTGGAAAGGATCTAGGATTAACCAGTGAATAAAATAAGCTGTAAACTGCATGAAGAAACTGACAGAGGAAAAATCCTCCCCATCTTTCCTCCTTCCACCTACATCCTTTTTTATTATTGTTGCTATGACTATGTTGTATTTAAATACCAGAATAGGTAGGATTTAATACACCAGAGAAGTCACAACCATGTTCACTATGTGACACAATGAAATAATTCCAGCGCTTCTTTTGAATGCTCTGTCTAAAGAGGTAGAGTCCTGATTAAGTATTTTTCAACATCTGTTTTCTGAAATCCATAGTAAATCCATAGTAAAACTTCATTTAAAGTGTGAAGGAGACACTTGAAATGTGACAGCATACATGTTATCTTGAGGGTTTATCAGGAATGACAGGGAAATTCCAGCATCACAGTCTGTTTAATTGTGGAGGTGAGAGTGACCCTGATTCTTCAGATGAGAACACGGTCCTTGGAAGGCTCCCCTCAGCAGCTCGTCATGTCTCCTTACAAACTGCATGTAAAGGGATTCATTTCTTGAGCAGAGCTGGGTGACTAGGGGAGTAAAACAGATTTGAGGACTCTTTCTTCTTTTCTTTAATGTGCAATTCTGCTTTGAGAAGTTTCTGTTTTGTGATTTCTCCATGATTTCAAGTTCCTCTCTTTCAATTCATGTGTAAGGGCTATTTTCCCCTTAACATCCACTTATTTTGTATTATGAAAGTGAGCCTGGACTCATTCTGGTCTCTGTAAGGTTTCCACTATCAACAAATACTCAAGCACATCAGAGATGATGGGTGAAATGGAAGGGATAGATTTCCACTCACTTGTGTTTCTTTTGCACAGCTCCCACATGTCAGAGCAGTAACTAATGTTTTATGATTAAACTGAACTGGTGGGGCTGTGATTAAAATAAACCTGTCACAAAAGAAGCTTCCACAATTATTTTTGGCCCTATACTTATGTGTAGATCTTTATATTTGAATTAGTGTATAATTTTTAGATATATGTATTTGAGTGACAGTCATAACCTAATTTGTAGATGAGCTATTTACTTGCTAGGAAACATGATCTCTATCTGTGTAGCCCGTTCTATTATGTCAGTGAGCAATGGTTTTGAGATTTGCAAGGTTTTGATTACCGAGTACAGCAAGTTTGGAACATTCCTACTTTTGTTTTTTTCTTGGGCAAACTATGACTTGGTCCCAGCTCAAAAATAGCAAGTCATTTAAAAATTAAGCTGAAAAAACCCAATGATATGAGAGGAGGTCCAGAAGAGCAGTGTTGGTGTGCTTGTGCTGATACAGTATAGAACCCTGAGCAGTTTATGAAATACATTGCTTATACAGACCTGATTTTGTACCCTCCCACTAATGAAAACACTATTGTCTTTTCTCCATTTCCACTGAACTCAGTACCTCTTTTGTAATATGTTGCCAAATAGGTGCCTTCTAGATTTGTAGTAAGAGTGGAAAGCGGGTTGTTGTGCAGTGTGATAGAAGAACACTGTCCACTTCCAGCCAGACGACTGGGCAGCAGCAAGACATGCTGTACATTCCTTTCACTGTGAAAACATTGCTGGTTGTTTAGACATTACATATAGTCTATAGATAGAGAAGTGTGTGTTTGTAGGGGCTGGGAAGAAAGAGAATGCAAAGAAATATATGTATAGGGTAGATACTTTTTTGTTTGTCAGAGATATTTTTATTGGATGGATTGGTCTCCCAGGCCCTGAAGTTGAATGTCCATTAGCATTTTCACAAAGGTTAGCTAATATTCATGGCATTACTGATGAGTAGTTATTACCGCGTCCCCACATGAGGCAGGCAGAGTGCAATGTAGTGAGGAATCACCAACTGTTTCTTACGACTTGGTGACTTTGCTCTCCTCAGTTGGAGTGCTGTGGATAAAAGTGTAGGTTTTATTTATTGGGTAAAATATTTGTTTTGTTTATTTGGGCTCCAGATTGGAAAACTGTGTAATTGAAATGTCTTTTATGCTGGAGAATGATTACTGTTTAAAGAAAAAAATGAAAAAATACGATGGCATAACCCACAAAACCAAAACAAGATACAGTATTTATGAATTTGAAACAGTAGCACTTTCCATTGCCTGGGATGATGTGAGGGGAGGACATGTAAGTTTTTCTGTAAATACGCCATGAAGCAGGAGTGCAGTGTACTGATTTATAACTGACTTTTTATTTTTCTTGCTGTAACACAGAGGTGAAGAATTTTAGAAGAAACAAGATGCGAAGTAATTTTAATTTTATTTTATCTTCTCCAGTCATCTCAACTAGAACTCCACCTCCACCTTCACCATTGCCATTTCCAGCACAAGCTATTCTTCCTCCTGCCCCGTCTAGCTACTTCTCTCATCCAACGATCAGATATCCTCCCCACCTGAATCCTCAGGATACCCTGAAGAATTATGTACCTTCTTATGACCCGTCCAGCCCGCAGACTAGCCAGGTACTGTAAAACAATGCAAACCCTCCAAAAGAAATCCTATGAGGAATATGTGTCTTCCAGGGCGTCTAGACTGGTATCTCACTAGTTCTGGTCTCAGAGCAAGCTGGGAGCTGGCATATAAGCAATCCAGCAAATTTTCCTGTTCAGCATGGTTGAATAAAGGGCGCAGGTTAGTCATATCCACTCGCTGTTCCTCTGTCAAGCGTAAGAAAAATACTTGTTCTGAATAACCCGGCAGCACTAACAGGGCAGGTTCTAGTCCCGCACCCCTCCTGCAGGCTGGGCGCCTCTGTGGCCATGCAGGGCTGCCGGAGATGAAGCTCCTGCTACAGGATGGAGCAAGGAGTGCCCTGATATGTACACACGCACGTGTGCACATGCACGGACATACAGGTATATTTATAGACCGACAATGAAAATAAACTCTGGCAAGGTAATGCTTGCCCTGGTTCGTAGGCACCTGACGTTTCTTTGCACAGATGCAAAGACATTATTGTAGTGAGCACCTCACAGACCCACAAAATGGTTTTTCTTCCTTTTGTAGAGAATACGCAGTAACAGATGAGTTCCTGGCTGCCACACCAATTCAGACTTGTGTCTGATATGGGAAATTAACATGGTTTTCATTAGCAAAGTAGTTTGTGAAGGACTATGTGCAAAACTGCTTTCCGTGATAGCATCAGCACATAGAGTTAGCATGTAATCTGCACTATAGGATAAACTGCAATGGAGACGTGGTCTGTCAATACATGGAACATTTCCAGTGTCAGTGTAATGTAATCTTTGCTGCTCAGGCTGTTATTTATTTTTGATGCCTTGTCAGAAAGGCTCCTGTGGAGCCCTGTAGCTTGTGCTTTAGCATGTTTTTTGGAAGAGCCTTGGGAATGTAAACTGAAGAGACAACGGTCAGGTTTTCCTGCTCCTAGGAGTTAGGTTCCTTTGGAAGGACTGTCTTATCAGGAATGAAAGGGTTGTTGTGACTGCATTTTGTTTTGGGCTTTGTTTTGTTTTGTTTTTCACCAATAATGACAGGCCTTTCAGCATGTGTTTCAGGCACAACAGCAACAGAACTTAAGACTGAATCAAACTTTCTATGCTGAATAACAGATATGGCCCCTCTGGGCTGTTCAGAAGGTCAGTGTGGCTATTTCCCCCATGGGCTAATGCTCTGGTCCAGATACATGACTTTCTACGTTTTTTTTAAAAAAAAAAGTGGGTCCATAAAATAAAAATTTACTTTGAAGGGAGAAATCCTAACTATGTGATTTTTGTTGGTTACAATATTAATGCAAATTAAACCAAAAAGTGGAGATGGAGTATGTCGGCTTTAGAATACAAATTGCTATCTGTGCATGGATTAAAAGTCTTTCAGTCCCATATAGCATTTTTTCTGAGACTCAGCTGGGAATGTTGCATGCAGGACCTGATTTTAATTTGTGTAAAATTTACATGAATAACAAAGTCTAATTAAGACATCCATTAAAAGTCCTTAGCGTTAATTCAGTGTGGAAAATCTTAGAGTTCTGTTGGATTTTTTTTTTTTTAAACTGATGTCTTAATTAGGCACTATTAAGGGAAAAATTATGCAAATTAAAATCAGGCCCTTACTGTTATGCATTTCTTTAATTATTCAGTGCTTGTTTTACTTACATTTTGATTTCTTACATGTATTAAAAGAGCAGATTAGGTGATAATCTCTCTGGATTGTTCAGTGCTCTGCTTCGAATAATCGCTGAAAAAATACAACATCTAAATGAAGTATCTGACTTTCTTTCAGACAGTTGACAAACATGCTGTCTTGTGATTTTAACGTTGGGGAGTATATTCATTGAGCAGGAGAAGCGCTTTCAACTCTTTGCCCAACAAGAGTCTTAGTCACTTCCCTTATCTGCGGTTGAAAGATTAATCTTTAGACCTTAAAAGATAAAATTTTACTCTGCTGATTTTTGTCAGAGTAGTAGCAAACTGAAAACACTTCCTATTCTTGTGTTGTGGCACCATAGGGAATAACAGGCCAAACTGGCCTGAATTTACTACTTTCGTCACCTTTCATAACCTTTATATTAGGGTAATGTTTTTCATTTCATTTGATGTTTGATTTAGTTCCTGAAGAGGGGATGGGGTTAAACAACACCAAGTATGGGATTCCAGGTATCTGCATCAGCTGTTCTCCGCAATTTATTGTCATTAATCACTATTATTAGTGGAATCTCTTTTAAATTTAATTATTTAAAGTTCACCTCTGAGATATGCTGTACATTAGAGGAGTTGCATGCCCAGTCAGAATATCTCTAGATAGAACAGTTAAAGGATAGCTGTACAAAAAGTAAACCAGCAAGAATAATTTTTTGCTTAGGAAAAGAAGAAGCAGGTCTGTGGAGTTTCAGTGACAAAAGAGAATTGTTCTGATACAATTGCATGCTTTGAGCCAAACCAGTTTTTCTTTTCTAAATAAAACATGAATTTTTATTCAAACAAATTTAATTATTATAAAATGCAAAACTGCATCTGTAGGAATGCCACATCAAATTTAATTATAGTTTCCCACCTCAAAACATACTCATTTGGATTTCAAAAGGAGAACTATGATGATAGTTTTAATTTCAGCTTTAGAAATAAGAAAGGACGGATACCCTGACAGCATTTACCTAAAATGAACTGTTCCTCCCCAACATCTTTCAGTAATACACTAATTTAGATTGTTACGACAAGCAACTGAGATGCCTTGTACTCCCCACAGCAATTTTGAGATTAATTACATTACTGCTGCACTGATTATAGTGAGACAGTCATGCTATTCAATGGAATACTTTAAGTAAAATTAGTTTAAAGATATAGAGCTCCCATAGGTTTCCATGGTGGGAAGCAGTGGGCAATTTTCTTGACATAATGTTAAATACTCCAAATTATGTGTGATGAACAGTCAGGAAGTTCAAACAGGCCCTTTGGCTGCAGTGAAAGATTGTTCAACAATGGATCATCCTAAACAAAAGAGAGCCATGGCTGTTGGTTTCATGCATATCTGCTTTTCATCCCCTGTTCAATCTGGAGAATAAATAAACAAATGTACTGAACAGAAATGGACCTTGTTAGATATAGAGCTGGACTTGCCTCCAACTAGTAGTCTGAAAAGTTCCCAAGGTTTTGAGAACTGCTGTACTTTCCACTAATTAATTCTGCTGAGCCCTTTTTATTACACTTATTTCAATGCTTTTCTTCTTAGCTAGGCACGCATGTTACTGGATGAGATTGTGTCTGGGAGTATGTATCCGTATTATGATGGGGTGCTGGTCTCTCCACAGTTAAATTCATACTGGTTACTCACTGTAAGTTTCAGGAAAAACTAATCGAGTGGTATGTGTCTAATCCACCTATGGTGTTTACCCATCTACAGGGTACTGAGGTTTTCAAAGCTACCACAAATTTTGAACATGTATTTCCTTTTTGAATGATTCCAGATGGGTGAATCTTTTAATCTTGGAAAATATTACCTCCTTTGTGTGTATGTACACGTGTGCACACACACACACAAATCTGCACACACTTGAAATGCATTAATAATGGAGAGGGTATGAATCAATATACAGTATCAAAATCAGACTTCCAATGACCCTGAACAAATCACCAAGCACAACAACACTTGTGTGGCTGAAGTCAAAACCAAAACCTCCAAACTTAATGCCCCGTCGAGTTAAATGGAGTAATTTCCTGATTAAGGTGTGGTGAATCACAAAAGAAGGGTCAGCAAGTGCGATGAAGGAAATGATGGTAAAGCAAACAGTTAATGTGAATCCTGCTGAAGAACGTCCTGGCATCAGTGAGAAATTTTTTTTTCTGACTGAACCAAGCAAACAGAAGTAGACAATCTTGCAAGCCCTTTGAGTTTGGCTTATGAAGAGTACAGTTTACAGGTAACCTTAAATCAAATTTTGTGATATTTTTGACGAAATATGCAGTTTTCAGTGGCATGGTGAAACTGCCTCCAATTTGGGGGAGTTAGGTATTGGACCCTTTTCCTCTTACGATAAATGGCTCGCACTTGTTACATACGGCAGTCCAAGTGAACCGCTGTCCGCATATTGACTAAAATTCCTGTTAAAAAGTACTTTGTTGCAATGTGGGCTAGTTTGCAGCTTTATCTTTTTAATGGTTTTATCTTTGTCTGAAGACAGAAATATCTGAACTGCTTGAGAAGAGCTGCTTCTGGAAGCTGGTGAGGCCACTTATTTTCCTCTCATAATTGATTGGGGTGTTCAATTTTTTGTTCGATGAAAGATAGGCATACTCTTCAGGAATGCCAGGCAGATGCTTTGTCATTTTTCAATACAATAACTGCAGTCATTTAGCAACGAGGAGGGAATCTTGTGAGGCTCTGTTTGGGCTGGTCAAAGGGTTTCCTGTTGGTTCCTGGGAGAATACTAGCAGAATAAGCTGACACAAGCAATATGTGTGCATGTAATTTCTTTGGTATAGCTAGCACCTTTATTTGTTGACATTTAATAGTTTTCAGCTTCTTGGGCAAGTCTTTCCTTGTAATTTTTAAGAAATTATTGAAGATTAAATATGGGAATGTGCTGTTTTTAATTGTAATTGGGAGGCAGAGAGAGAGAGTACTAGCTTAACTGCATCTACTGACAAGGCATTTTAAGATTTAATTGCAGTTGTAATTGGTTACTTTGTATTTAGTTTGCTCATTTTTAGTTTATTAAATGCACAGTTATAAGTCTCCAGAGTGAATGAAATACCATTTAACCTAAAGATATCTTTTGAACATTTATCTACAAAGAGGTTTCCTTTCCCATGCTTGTGTAACATGGACTTACCCTGTTGTTAAGGCAAATAAACAAGGAAAGCTGGGTATTTCCTTGTGCTCTACCTGTTGATAAATAATTCAGATTTTGTGAGCTCACAGGTAAAATAGTGATTCAGGATGGAGGACTTTTGCCTAGAATGTCTTATGATATCTGTGTCTGAACATGGGTTGCTGAAGCTCTGCAGTT